ACATTAGGTTGTTACTTCAATATAAGGGGCTATTGAGCATTTCTTCACTGACTTTTAAATAATACAAAATCATTTTCTTTTTGCTCAGCAGTGGCAATTTATTTATTTTTATTTTTTTGAGACAGGGTTTCCCTGTAGCCACAGCTAGCCTGGATTCACTATGGAGATCAGGCTGGCCTTGAACTCACAGAGATCCACCTGCCTCTGCCTCCCACATGCTGGGACTAAAGGCGTGTGCCAAGATGCCCAGCAGTTTTTTATTTTTAAAAAACATTGTTATTTTGTGTGTATGAGTGTTTTGCCTGTATGTAAGTGCATCTATGTCATGCTTGTGGAGGCCAGAAGAGGGCATTGGAACCCCTTGAACTGGAGTTATAGACCATTTTTAGTCACCATGTGGTGCAGGGAACTAAACCTGGGTACTCTGCAAGCAGCCAGTGTTCTTAACTGCTGAGCCATTGCACCAGTCCCCTACAATCTAGTTTTAGAACATACACATATGTATGTATTTGTGTGTGTGTGTGTGTATTTCAAAAAAGATACTATGTATAGATTTTTAGTCATTCTCCTACCACAATCTGTCATGTCTAATAATATACCTTTTTTTTTTTTTTTTTTTTTTTGGTCCTTTTGAGACAGAGTCTCCCTGTAGCTCCAGCTGTCCTGGAACTCACAGAGATCTGCCTGCCTCTGCCTCCTGAGTGCTGGGATTAAAGGCATGCACTACCACGTGTGGCATAATATATCTTTTTATAATTGGTCATGAAATGATAGAAATAAATACTGTGGTAATGTTTTTCACATCTAATTATTAAGAGCAAATTTTTATGCTTTGAAGAATGATTTTTTTTCCTTTTTTTAAATTTATTTATACACCCACTTCCTAGGTAGCACCCTCCCATAGCCTCCCTCCCCCCACTAGAGCCCTTATACTCTGATATCCCTGATACTGTCTGCTGTGTTGTCAGCACCCCAAGCCATTCCCCACTACTTGCCCTTCTGGTGGATCTAGTCAGCCTATCTAGGGGTCTTTGTTTTAGGAGGGTCAGTTGTTCCTCTTCTAGCAGCAATCAGTTGTCAGTACTCCTTTAGATAAGATTGGGGTCTGCTGTTCATTTTCCCAGTTCTGTGCTGGGTTACTATCTGGGAGTCCCTTTGGTATATATATGGTGGGAATCCCTTTGGCCACCCTGGCCAACAACTCAAAAGAAGGTATCGCCTGTCTGGCATTGTTGCTTGTTATGTAGACTTTAGCTATACATATGGACTCTTAGGAAGTTTTGTTGGCCCATTTAATCTTTGGTTATACTTTCCTTTTGGGTGTTTAAGGCCATACAGTTGGTCCAGATAAACGGATTTATTATTGTAATATCTTCTTGATTCATTGTTCCTTTAATCAAAATGAAGTGCCCTCTTTGTCTCTTCTGATTAGTTTTAATTTAAAGTCTATTTTG